TTCCTACTGATGACTCCAGGGAAACGTTCAGAGTAATTTTAGGAAATCACATGTTTAAGATAATGAGAGAATTAGGTCAGGAAAAACAATAAGAGTTTTGACACAGCCAAAACTGGCGCTGCTAGATTCTAGAAGTCTGAGTCATATAGGTGTGGCACAAATACGAAGTTGATTACGCTTGAGTAGAGCTGCACTAAGTCAATTTGGAGAAAAAGAAAAGTTTAAATAGCCAAGCCTTGTGCATGAGTATAGACTATAAGAAAAGGTAAAGTAAGTTCTCCAGTAGATTTCTCTAGTGAATGAAACATTTTTCCTTAGATGTAAACTGAATTTTAAAACTAAGTTCAAAATGATTCACCTTACTAACAGTTAGAGGTTGTTCCAAAAGTGCACTGATTTCTAAATATCTAATTGAACACTAAAAACGTTTCGCATAGTCAGTCTCACAAACAGTTTTATACTGGCGTCTTGTAAAACTGTGCCCTAAATATGCGCCATGCAATACTATGTGCTAGTCAAAAGCGTACTAGCTGTCGAAACTATTGTGCGACCCACAAAGAATCATACAATTTCCATTCCAAATCATTTCGGATCAGGGATCGAACACTAAAAGTACAATCATAAAATTGGGTTTTTTGATCAGACGAATGAAACAGATTGATATTGTGTCCACAGAAAAGCATATTTGGGGTACACCTCGAAAGTCTGGCACTGAAAGCTTTCCTAAATATTATAGCGATATTCTAAAGCAGTAAGGTCTCTTGAATTTTATGTAATTTCGACCTCATGAGACTGTAAAAAACAAAATATTCTTTTTATACCTTACAATTTACGGTAGCAAATGTGAGACATGATTTTTTCGCTGTATCAAAAAGCTCACTCAAAACTTGCTTATGTAAGAAAAAAGGAAAGCAAGTGTTTCTAAAGTAGAGGAAAACAATCATACAGAATCGACCGGAATTAGCAGTCAAATACCCATACGACAGCAAATATCACATAGTTTCTAGGAGAGTCAAATAGAGGCCTGCGAATGCAAAAACAAATCCTCCCTGAAGAAGGGAACGCAGATGGATACACGATGCCACGATAATCCATCGAAAGGTGAACGATGTAAAGCTATATAATATAGGTAATCCCCTCTTGAGAGATAGTGAGTGATGGACAAAGTGACTGATTAGGTATATCATGTATACATATGACCTATGCTTTTTAGCTGATCAGAAAATAGTGATTTTGATGATAATATAAGTAGATGAATGAATAAATTGATTTAACCACGCCTTCAAAAAATTAGATCAAAAAATTCTGTAGCGAGGCAAAATTTATGAGAACAAGCTAATTTCAATGATCAGCTCAGTTCCACACAGTAAAAAGAATGATTTTGATTGAAGTCGGACCGCTAATTTCCAGGTAATTTTCAGTG